ATAAATTGTACGTGTTCATTGAAAATTGCACAAATTGTCAATTAGATAGCAACAAATTAAATGGCACAAATTCCACTCTCGCAGTTGGAAGCAAGCCACCGTGGCCAAAGCCAGCCTCAACCAACCACATTTTGAGCCACAGCCTTTATTAGTGTCCATGGAGTTGCGATATTTAGTTCACATGTGACTGGCACACAACGACAAATTGTCTCCCCAGCCCCGGGGCCTGTCTATTACATATGGGCTATAGTAGTACACGACCTCGACCCCTCCCTTATTGTCCAGCGGGGCGCAGCGTCGAAATGTAACAAAATCGCACAAATGGCCTGCAGCACTTCCCGCCTTCGTCCCTGCCGTTGGCCAACCGTAATGCTCATTCTCCTCGCCCCAAATGTAAATTAATTGCCTGTACAAATTAGCCAACTCGGCGAACATTTCGAACATTTTGTACATTTTCGACATTAGGCCAAGCACAAAACGCTGGCAGAAATGTGCCCATAAAGCGCCTCTCCCTAATTTCCCACACGAAATAATTGCCGAATCACCAGCAAATAGAACGCAATCAAAGTTTCCAGCTAAAATATACCCTAATATGAATATAAATGCATTAGATCTGTTACCGATTCGTGTTGCAATTATAATCAAGAAAAGATAAGATTAATTATGTTGACAAATAGAAGACAGTACATTGGAAGCCTTAGATCTTCTGGAACAAAAAAAGAAAAGGTGGAGATTTTGGGTCAAGAAAAGATCATTTTGATTAAGACTAGATCCTAAAATAAGCCCAAAAGCTCTTAAGTGTTGAAAAGAGATTTTTAAGTCGAGCTTTTCACTAAAAGCTCAGAGCTCCAACAATGTTGAAAAATATGTGATGTAATTATTCTAAGCTTTGTAAGTCATGCTTTTGACTTAAACAAAGACAAGCCATTTTAAGCTTTCATGTGCTTTCAAAGCTTTGTTGAAAAGCAGTTTAGAAAAGATAACTGACAGCTTTTTAAATAAAAGCTTTCAGCTTATGAGAAGCTTTGAAAGCAGACAACTTAAAGCTTCAATGAGCTTTTTCAACTTCCATTTGTAGCTTTCGCATGTAACAAACATACATATAAATAATTGACATACCCCGCAACTCGTATACATTTCGTACAGGTATGGCGCCCAAAATTTTGTCATTGTCAGGTAAACAGATGCAAATGTCGTTCGTTATTTTTAATCAGCTATCAAACTGTAAAGTTGCAAATTTATCTAAACCATTGTCGAGAAACAGGTGAAAACACAGTTGCCATTTCAGTTGAATTTTAATATTGTGCGTGAAATTTTTTTGTAAAATATTTACCCCGAGTTTAATGAAGTCGCGCACACAAACCAACCCCAAGTCCGCCTCCCCCATGACTTTTGACTGTTTGCATTAGTTTGTTTGAGTTTGGTGCATATTGAAATTTGTAGCTTTACGAGAAGGGAGGCGAGTCACATTAAAGCTAATGAGCGAAATGACGCAGCATTTGACCAGAGCAAAAATTAGGCATTGAACTGCAACCAGATAGGGCAAATGGAGGCCAACTGTTTGCCAAATGCGTGCCGCAGGCCAAATCATCGGAGTTGAGTTTATTGACGAATATTAAAAATCTCGAATTACTCAAAGTTTGGGTTTTTGCTTGTTTTTATGAACGCTATTTTTGGATGAGCTTAATAGCCAAGGCGATGTGGCAGTCGTCTGGTGCTGCTTCTTGTTTTTGCCAGCAACTGAATCTGTTGCCATTGTATCAACAACAACAAATGGAGCGGCTCAAAGCACCCCGCCCCTGCCCCCTGCCATGTTGCTTTGTGTCTGCAATTGAAGCGAAAGCAAGTGCCCCGCGGCTCTTGGCAACATGGCACAGCAATTGGAACGAGTCTAGGAATGAGAAATGGAAGCTAGGAATGGCAAATGGGAAACTGGAGCAAGGCGAACTGGCATTTAAAGTCGCCAATGGGGAGATGAGTGGGGTGGACCAGAAGGGGGCACAGGGAGTACTCGGCAAACAGCAGAAAGCTCAGCGCCCCAGAGGAGGGGCAGAGATTGGGGGTGAGATTTGCCGGCAATTGAAACAACAACGAGGCGGAAATAAAATATTAACTTTGCTTAACTCAAACTCACGATTCAATTAGAAACGAAAGCCATTTTATAATTGAAACGAGCCTGCCTGCCACCCCACGCCACGCCCTCAGGCGGCAACGCCCCTGCCACACAAAACAGCCTTTCCTCATTTGGCGCAACAAAATGAACGATAACCGTGAAACGGTTGTGGCATAGACCAAAGGCAAACAATAAAGAACATCAATAAATATTGTGAGCAACAAAAATTAGCAAAAGGGGATCCTATGAAGATAATGATTATGGCTTGTGGGGAGCAGAGTGGGAAGCAAAAAAGAAAGATGATTATTCATTAGACTCCACATCATGTAATTGAAAAGTTTTTTGAATTGACAGTTGCCAGGACTCACATCGTCATCATCAGCATCCTGAAGCAACCCGAGCATCGTCTTCAAGCCAAAGACAAAGCCCGTCGCTCAATTTGTCACTCGCGCGAGTGGGCGGGCGGGCGAGGGAGGCGCGGCACGACGTGGTGTGGCGTGGCGTGGGGCACTGACTGATGATGCGTGTGACTAAGCAGAAAATTTTCAGCATTGGCTCCCCAGTTTCACGATTCCGTCTGCTGCCTGCGACAGCCAACAGACAAGTCCCTGTCCCTGTCCCGGTCGGGAGATATACCCCCCTCGCTCCCTTATTCTTCCTTCTGATTATGATTGAGTTGACGTCGTTAATATGTTATCGATGATGACGTCGAGCGCTCCTCCATCGGGAGGGAAGGCAGCCTCCCAACGTGCCAGCGAGTGTTTGCCACGCGCTCGCGACTACTTGGACTGAAAGGAAGCTGAGGGGAGCTGCTTGTCTCCTGCTGCTGGCTGCTGGCTGCAGGCTGTTTGTCTGCTGCTCCATTTAAATCAGTTACATTCCTCGCAATGTCAACACAAATACACACAAGGGACGCACACCCCCACACATACAGCCGCACACACATGTGCACTTACATTTTGTTATTTGTCTTTTGAATTATTAATGAACTTGCTGAATGGCATTGGCTTCAGCTTCAGCTTTTGGGCTTGGGCTGTGGCTGTGGCTGCCTAGCAGGGATCTGAGCTGCAGTTGACGTCCTGATGATCTGGTTCTTAATCAAGTGAGTCGTCGCCTGGCGTATCCTTGCGGCGGCCGCTCTCATCTCAGATAAGTTTAATTAAATCCCTGCCACACTTCGCATTCCACATTCCACATGCCACGGCTGCACTTTTGCCACGCCCACAGCTGCGTTGACCGCGCATTGCAAAAGTTTAAGCACTTTTCCATAGCCGTGGAACAAGAGTGAACGAAAGCCAAAGAAGTGGAAGCGGCAACAAAGTTTTCTGATTTCGATTTTTATTGCGGCCAAAAAACCCAGAAACAGTTCCCAATCTGCAGCCATGGAGATTGGAGAGGGTAGCAGGAAAAAGAAGGGGGGAGGAGGAGAGGGCGAGCAGGTGGAATTGGAGGTCCGTTTCTTGGCAACAATTTCATTTGGAGGCACTTGACTGCCGCTCTTCCTATTTCCCTCTCTTCCCTTCCATTTGCATTTGCATTTCCATTTCCATGCCAACTCTTGACTTTCCACCTGGCCAACAGTTTTGACTTTGGCTCTGGTTCTAACTGCACCTGGAATTCCATTCGCGTAGCTGCACGCAAGCAGCAGAAGGCGTGAGCACGAGTAGGGTGGGGGCGCTACCACTTCAACCACAAAATCCACACAAACATTTTTGCAAACAAAAAGTTTATCCCATTTTTCTCGTTTGCCCTCCCAATGCCCACTGAATTATTAAGAGCAGAGAAACACACGAAATATTAACAGGAATTTATTAAAACATCAGTCGAAGCAGCACATGTGAGCTTCAATCAAAAGAGGAACTCCTGCTGTTGCCTTTTCCCTTTCGCCTTTCCCACTAGAAGTGTTGGACTATTCTCGAAGCTGTTAATCTTTTTTCAACTTTGTAATTACTTTTGCAGGCAGAAAACTTTCTTTGAGCAGCACATTCACAAATTATTTTCGAAACAAACATCCAACAAAGCCACTCAACCACAGCACCACACACTCCTCTTACACACACTCTCGCACCATACACCAGAGAGTGTCACAGACTCTGCATCTTCTGTCCGAAAGTCAACTAAATCACTTTCTATTCAACAGGACTCTGCTTGGAACGACGAGTCGAGCAGACGGCACAAAAAGGCCACCAGGACAAGGAGGACAACCAGGACACGTGCTCGACACCAACAACTGGCGCTAGCCACTGACCAGCGGGCGAGACGTTGCCAACGTGACGAGCTGAACCACCAGCAGCCGGAGCGAAAGGAGGTAGCCAAGGGGGGAAGAAGTGGCCAATAAAAAAGCTAACGAAATGCTGATGCCGCTTGCAGTCGATAGGCGAACTCGGCAACAACAACAACAACAACAGAAACAACAACGACAACAACAACCGAAGCAACCGCATTAAAAACAAAACTGGAAAAGTTGAACGCAGTCCGTAGAAGGGGACAGCCAGAGGAAAAGTTCCAAATTTGCCAGACAGAGTCCACGTAGAGCTGCTCGTCGCTTTGTGGCCGCATCCGGAACTGTGAGCAGCAGTTGCTGTTGCCGGAATTTGATTTTAACGCATTTCTCAGAGCCGCGCCATATCAAAACCGAGCTCAGGCCCAAACGGAAGAGTCTCGTCTGTGCCTCCGGAACGTTTCAATGGCAACACATTGAAATTGGCTGTCACAGAGCCAAAGGGGAACCCCACTCCACGTGGGAGATCCGTTGGAATGAGCGCCAATTGTGGCGTCACATGCACTGACAAGCTATTAACTGCACGTCTGCCACCCAAATAGGCATCCCCATCACATAACAGTTGAAACCGAAGAGGAAGAAGAGGAAGTGCTCCTCATGCTAAGTATGGCCGCCAGCCGCAGCTCCCTGCTGCAGCTGCTCTGGATCTCTTGGATCATTTGGCAGCTACCTTTGGTCAGCGGATATCTAAACATTTTTATCAGCCACCACGAGGTGATGAAACTGATGGGTAAGTCCACATGTGGGACCTATTTCTGAGAGGGAAAGTATGTTTCGATTTGAAAGTAATCGTTGGGACAGTTGCTCGAAGTTCGAGACACGCCTCCGACCCCGCCCCACAGATATGATTAATAGTTGAATGGCAAAGTGCGACAGGACAAATTCATTGCTCCTCAACAGGGAAAACAAATAAGCCCAATCAAGGAGGGGTAAGGCGTAGGCACAGACCACGTCGCAGTCATTAATAGTTCCTAAATAATTGTTGACCATGACGACGACGACGACGACGACGACGACGACGTCGAGAAGAGGAGGAGGTGGACGACCACAAAAGTTACGCGAAAACACGACAAAACAAATCCACACAAATCGATTTCCGGCTGTAGCCGGAGCCACCCTCGCACCTTCACCTTCGCCTTCACCACCCTGTTGACAGCTGCAAGTGGCTGCCCGCCATGCTTAGCCATCCCTCCCCCCGCTCCCATTTTTTCCCTCTCCCCCTGCTGATAACGACTTCACAGACCGGTGCGGCGCATTTTGTTGTTTGTTTTGCTGTTTTCCCGTTTGTTGCTCAACGCGAGGCCTCGTTATTGATGGCGCCAGCTACTCAAGTGCCTCCAGATCGACCTTGTGCCAGGCCTCGCCCCTACCCAATCCGTATCCTCGAAAATAGTTACAGTAATAGGCATTCATTCGGCGTGCCAAGGCGGAATGACGTCTTGCCCGTCGCGTTCTTTTCCTCATGTTGATTAATGGTTCATGGCTCCAAAATGTGAGTCGGGGCGGTTCCAATTCGCCCTCCGACTCCCTTTACCCACCAGTCCATCATTCTTCCGCTGTGCTAGCTGTGCACAGCATTTTCCGGCACTTAAGTGTAATTGGAGCAAAATGCTTCCATCTCATTATGCAGGCTCAATCCTAGTCCTAGTTCCCACTGCCACTCCTTCTGGTTGCTCCTAATCGCCGAATCACGGCACTTCAATTAGTTGAACAGCATAAAAATAATCCACACAAGGTCCGCTCGAGGCGCAGATTGATGAATGGGCAGACAACTTTGAACTGCAACTGTCGCCATGTTACTAGGTCAGCTACTCCACCTCCCCTTCCTTGCCTCCCTCTCCTTGCTTTGCCTGTATTCAGTACTCCCCTTTCGTTCTGCACTTCTTGCTGAGACTGCATTCGAGTGTGCTGAGCCATGAGCTGCTCGCCCGAGCAATTGACACTTCACAAAGCGCGGCCCTTGGCTCCCTCTGACCCCTGGCATCCTTCAATGCAAATCGGATTTCATTAGCGACAACTCAAAGAATCTTCCACTTTGTTTGTTGCTCTTTGTAATTTCCTGTGCTATGCGCGATTTCCAGAGATTCCATCTCTCACTTCCTACAGATACCCTCCTTCTGTTCCCCTTCTTCTTTTCCACCCCATCCACAGAGCTCGTTATGTTTTTAACGACCAGTTAACAGCCCCTCCTTCATAATATTTGCCACCCTCTGGCACAGTTTCCATTTCAAAATTAACAAGCAGCTTGGAATCAAACAAACTGACCCGTCCAACTCCCTCCACTCCCCCTTCCCATCCACAGCGCGACATGCCGTTGCATGATTTATTTTCAGGTCCCCTCATCCTTCTCCGCATATGTCTCTATGACTGTTTGTTCATGTGGAAGACGCGTCATAGTTGCATGACCCCATACCAAACCCAAACCCGAACCCAAGCCCCATCTCTCCCTCTGTTTCAGTTCCCTTCTCCTCTTCAAACACACGCATTTCTCGAATAGCTTTGCTCTCTGGCAGTCCTCTCATTGCTGGCTGCCTGTGATTGACGTGATGCATTCCGGCAATAAAAATCGAGTACACAGTTCCCCTTTCCGCCCTCGCCATCGCAGCCTTGATTCCGGTTACAATCTGAAAGTTTGTTCCATAAGCGAGCTGTAAACATGAGTTAAACGATTTCTTTTCTAGCTGCTTCTAACTATACTTTTATATACATATATCTCGATACCTTTTCCCTCGATGGAGTGACGACAACATTAAAATTAAATATTTTTTACGCTTTTGTTGAAGATTTTCCGCTCTGCCTTCCAGCGAGTCGCGTTTCCCCAGCAACGAGCAATGTTCGTCCCAGAGTTGCCAGCGACACCAGCGTCAGCCACCAGTTGGGGAGGGTTGCCCCACCCCCACGTCCACCCCCAGCCCCTCAACTTCTAGTGCTCGCTGTGCAAGGACGCGTAAAAATGCAATTTCAACAAGTTTCACTTTGATGTGCACATTTCTTGAGCCCGAACCGAACCCCACAAGAAAAAGGACCTTTCTAGGTCTAGAGCTTTCTCCCACCTTATGCTCCGAAATTTCCCTTTAAATTAAAAGTTAATGCAAAAGAAAATTATTTTTAATGAATAGAAAACAGCCCGAAAATCGCCACATTAATAAGGCAACCCTCGACCTTCTACTCCCCTCCCTCTAGCTTTTAACAGGGTGTTTTGGTGTCGATTTGCTTTATTGCTGAGTAAGGCGAGAAATGTTGGAAAAATAAAGAGAAGAGGGAAGGTGTGAGAGATTTTAAACTGTGCCAATTAAATACCGAACTCGACTCTGATTCACAGCAAAGGGATAAGCCCTGTCGAGGTGTCATTTGGAGAGGAGGAGAGAGGCTAGCGACTAGGTCGACAGTCAGGATGATAATTTCAGAAAATGCACGTTGCACTCCTTCAAAGCGGCTGCCAGCTAATGACACTAATTATCCTCTTAATCTTTTATGCAAATTGTGTGCTGCCATTGTCAAAGCCGACCCAGACTCGGTCCCCCACCCTCAGTCTCGCCCACCAAAGCCTTCCTCTCCGGTTCCACCTCCTGCTCTGGCAGCGTCTGCGGTTGCAGCGTCACGTGTGTGTGGCGAAGCCATTCAGACAATCGCAGGTATTATAATTATGCTAGAGAGGCAAGCAGCAGGGGGACCCGAGGAAACTTACTGGGACAAGGCAGACTCCTGAACGAGCCAAAACTTTCCCAGGCGACGGCAAAGTTGCAAAGCGCTGTGCAAGGCGCGTGATATGAAAGACGGCCAAAGCTCGACGGAGCAGGACTTGGGACCGTAGCCAAGTTGGGTGTCCTCCTTATCTCCAGGAACACCGTGCTTAGATGCAGAACGAAAACGAACTCACGGAAATTAAAGATGCTTTCAGGTTGTGGCTTAAATTCGCCAAAGAGGCCAATCGAAAAGTTGAAAGTCTCTTTGAGAGTGAATCACATCCGTTTTCAATCAGAACTGAATTAATTAAGCCTGACACAAGTGCATTCCCTCTCCCACTCCCATTCCCTCTCCCAATCCCGTTACGGTTACAAGTCCTCACTTCTACCTCTTGGGGCACCCTTTGGCATTGTTGTCCTACGACGAACTCGGGCTGAGTGACATTGTCCTTTTCGTGTGTTTGTGCATATTTAATGTGAGTCACTTTGAGGTTATATTTGTGTTTTTTGTTTAGTCTGCCGCGCATTCCCCTAAATGGATGAATAACGAGGTAGCTGCAGCTCCTCTACTCTCATGCCATCCCACGGCAGAGAACTCTGCAGTTTGTCAGCGGAAAGCGGGAAACGTAAAAGAAAAGTAGTACAGTTTAAGTAGCCTGTGGGAGCCGCAGAGTCAGCGGGGTGCATAATAATTTCGAATTCAAAAACAAAGTGAAACTGTAAAGGAAAACGGCGTAAGAATTGGGGAAGTTCTTAGACAAGCCATGAATAGAAGGAAGCAAACGAAAAATGCTTTCTCTTGTTCTGTAATTGGATTTGAAATTGTTTTAAGAATCGCGCAAGCGCCTTTTCTTCTATCCTAACTGCACGCACAATCACATACGCGCTTCTCGCTTCTGCCTCCACCGGAAACGCAACACTCAACATCCGGCACAGACGCACAGTGAAAAGGCTGAAGGCAGGGAGGGTGGAGTGGAGAGGAGAGGAGGACTGGCAGGCGAGTTGAGGAGAGTAAACAGCATTTGCGACTTTCAATGCAAAGCAAGGCCAAGACGTTTGCGGACGCGTCTTAGTCTGATCCCAAAGAGGAAATGATGCAACATAAAGCAGCCCAGTAAGAGGCGGAGAAGGCAGAAGGGAGAGTCAGGCAGAGACAACAATGAAAGCGGATGAAGAAATTTAATTTCACGTCTTTTTAACTTGAACAGCTCGTCTTTCACTGTCAGAGTGGTGGGGGGCAGAGGCTTAGAGCTCCCAGGGTCGGGGTCAGAGATTAGGACGTTCGCGTAGCTAGTTAAAGTTACACAAAGCGAAGGATGATGATGATGTTGCTGCTGTCTCGTCTCAAATCGAGTTAGACAACACTTGACACCTTTTAATATTTGGTCTCACCCCCTTCGAGTCCCGCTGCTCCCCCCGGGCGCCTGTCGGGCGTCATTCGAGGCAACCCGAGAGCGAGAACCAATTGACGCCCCGTGCATTGTCGCCTGCTGGTGACGGATTCGATTTCGATTATTATTGTGTCTTGGGTTTTGTTTACCGAACTTAGCTCACCCGCTGCAAACCCGCTGCCACCCCCTGTTGTTGAGTTGTCGAGGAAATCAATTTCCGTTCAAGCTCAAAGGTAGATACAGTTGCAGGGGGAAAAAGGGGGAGAGTCATCAACTGCGGGGAAAATAAACACAGCATGCACAAAGTTTGCACAGCAGTAGAAACTCCAAAGAAGGGACACCAAGGGGAAGGTGTAACAAAGCAAATTGTGAAATAAACTTTGTCTTTATGCCTGCAATGCATCCGCCACCCAATCTCATCCTCCATCTATTCGCGTTCGCAGGACTGGAGGCGGATTTGTTCTACGTGCACGAGGGAGCCATTAACACATACGCGATGCACTTCACCGTTCCCGTCCCGGCAGATGTGCACGAGCTGGAGTTCTCCTGGCAGAGTCTCATTGCTTATCCGGTAAGCCACCCGACCCTTTCCCCCTTCCATCCAGTTCACTTCAAATTTGATTTGCACTCCATTAACTGGCTATTCCACTGGTAGCTGCGCTACACAATCAGCATCGAATACGCCAACGACCAGGACGCACTGGGTACACCCACGCTGAGCATTCCACACAAGGGTCTGGTGCCGCAGGAGATCGAGTCCTTCCTGGTTTACCTGCCCTGCACTGGCAACGCAAGCCTTCAACTGCCGGTCAATGTCAACATGGTAGTGCAGGGACCTCCCCGCTTCAACGACACTCGGCTCCACTTCAAGCGCAACAAGATCTGTGCCAAGGGTACGTAACCATTCCTTCCGATCTCCGACTGTCATTCGCAAATTGTCCGTACCCGTTCCCATTGCAGGCATCTCACCCGAACCAAACCAGTCGCCGGCCCCAGCCCACGCCCCTTCCCAGGGACCGGCTCTGATGAGCGCTGCTGCCTGCGCTCTGGGCCTGGTCTTAGCCGTAGGCCTCGTGGCTAGCATGATGTATGTGCGGGCTCGCAAGCAGCTGCGCCAGGACTCGCTACAGTAAGTCCTATTGATTGGTCCATCAATTCAATTAGCTTCCTACAGTGAACCTTTCATTTGTTACATTCCCTTCCCATTTCATTAGCACCAGCTTCACTACAGCGGGTTATGGCAGTCATCAGAATGTGTTCATTCGCCTTGATCCTTTAGGTCGACCGCCGAGTGCCACCGGATCCTACGCGACCATTGCCAGCCTCAATAAATATCCAGCAGAGAGCAAAAAGTCGTGCAGCATATTCGACCGTAAGTTATCCGTCCTCTTCCTAGTCCCATCGCTTACTTATCGATCCCCAAACTATTTATTTCCCTACAGGGTTCCGCAGCTCGCCCACACCTACACCCTACGCCACCGCCCTGCTGCCAATGGGAGACCAGGGTGGAGAAACCATTTACTCAAAGCCAGAATCCGTCTGTCCCTCGAGAATATCCTACTACGCCTCCTCCCAGCTAACCCAGGTGAGTTCCAATCGCTCTGATTTTGTGGCTACACGATTTTCCTCCTGGGGGTTGATTGCAGCAGGCAACTGCCCTCAGGTAAACCAATGCCTTTGATATGTTGTGACACGTGCCATGCGCCAGGCATAAATGAAAATGAATCCCGTTGAAGTTTAGCCTGCAATGGGTCGGTCGGTTGCCTAGGCCACCAGATCCAGTCTGTTGCCAATTTTCGGCACTCACCAGACCAGACGATTGCTCCCAAGGCTCCCATGATATCCAATGCCCAACTCGAGCCACCTTTCCACGGCGATAAAAATTAAATTCTAATTTATATTTACGAGCTGATAAAGCTCCCGAAGTGCGTTAAACTCGAAACAAGAGCCATTCATAAATATGCGCGCGCCAGGGTGCCAGCCAGCCCTGTTCCTTATTTCAAGGGTTTTCTGTGGGTTGGGGCAAGTTTTGCCTGGCGCTCACGTACCACGTGTTGCGACCCACAAACCCACTGCCAGCAGAGTTGAATTACGGAGATACGCGTTCTTATATGTGAGAAGATAGGAAAGAGGGCTTGGGGTAAGCGTGTGAGTCTGTTCAGATAAGCGGATGGAGCTTCACAGTCGCAGACAAACAGGCAAACAGGCAAACACAGAAAGGAAAGCTTATACTCTGTTTACGCGACCGTTTGCTTTTCTTCCAGTTGGGAAACTAAATTTAAACTAACTAAAAGCCACAAATGAAGCCCTAAGAGGCAGCTGTTAAACCTCGAGACTTGTCTGTACGAACCCCAAATTAATTTTATGATACCCTACAAAAGTTTTTTCACATTTGTCCCTCTCTGGCATCCCTTCCCGTTCTGTGGAAATCCCTCTGACATTTTAACTTCTTGGCCTTGGCAAATCTGTCGCAAATTAGAATAAATTATTTAGCAGCTTCTTTTCTCGTTTTTCTAGATGTAACATTTCACAGACCCAAGCGGCGTCAACGTTTACATTTTTCCTAGACAACAAAGTGTGCCATCTCCTCTCGCTATCTTTCCTCCGCTCTGTCGCCATTCTCGTGATTGCTTGGGCCATTTTCGTCACCATCTTCAAACGCAATTTCCATCGACGCATAATTAAATATTCAATTTCCATGGAGACTCCTTTGGATTTTTATTTGCTGCATATTCCTTAACATTCCTCCAGCTGCTTCCTTACTTTGTCCTGGCATACTCTGTTTGCCCAAACGATTTCTGTTTGTTTAGACTTCAATTTCGTCCTCATTATGGCAACCGTTTCGAGCCATTTGACGGGGGCTTCCGGGGAGCAGCCACAGTCATGACTCGTTCAAGGCACTCACATGGATTCACATGGATATCAAGAATATCTGGATGTCTGGGATATTACACAATGCCAAGAGTCGTATCCATTTGCCGCTGTCTACTGATAGGACTCACTCTCAGAGGAGGCCGATGGAGAGTTAAATGAATTTCAACAAAATTTGAGCCCCAAATAGCATATGCCTCTGTCTGAAGAGCGGGGGTAGTTCTGGGAGGGGGTGTTTGCCATAATTATTGCTGTTCTCTTATCATAGTCAGTAGCCACTCTCCTGTTACACACTCGTATGAGTATTTGTGAGCGTTAAGCGAAGTGAAGCACTAAGCAAAGTGAATGGAGGGAAGCCGTGGGCCGGCAGCGGGGCGACGCACTCATTTAGTCAAACAATTATATCCAAGTGCACACACTGAAATGTTGTCGGCACTGATCTGCTCACTTGTGTGGAAATATCTCATTTGTGTGGGGCTCCTTTGCCCCAATCCTCGGCCTCACTCCACTCTCCTGTCTGGTTACTCTCATTCCAACCACTCCCTTTTGATTCTATTAAATCAGTCTTTAAATGTTGGCCAAATTGCTTTAATGTGCAGCGAAAGTTTAGCTAACGGCTGTGGGGACTACAACAATTACAGCACAAGAGGAAGGGACGAGGTGGAGGACAGAGAAGGGGAGAGGCCTGAAGAGTGGGGTAAATAACAATAAAAACAGCAGCGAGCAGAAGCCAGACTACAGCTGTTGAAACATGACTTTGTGCTTGTTTAGAAACACTTGCAAAATATTATTGCAAGAGTACGGTGGGAGGAGGGGAGGAGAAACCGCTAACTGCGGGGGTCAGAGTGGAAGCCGGTTCCTAGACCAGATACACGTCATGTGCAGCGCCAAAGCGAAGCAAACATAGAAAGGCATTAGGATATTGGATCAGAAGTAAGCTCACATAGACTTGGGATGGATAGGAGAGGTTGGAGGTGGGGTGTAAGTGGCTGCTGCGGTTGAAGATGTCGAGCAAGTACATGGAGCGAAGGCGAGTTAGAAGGCGACACAGACGCCACCTCCAGCTCCACGGTACGCGACGCATTCAAATGGCATCATTTGAGGACAAACTTGGAGAAGTGCGTGAGCCAGCGAAGCGAAGGAAAGGAGGCAGAGATGGGGAGGAGCATAGATAGCGCAAAGTTGGAAATTAATTTCCATGGAGCACGCCCAGACTAGAGTATTTTATGGAGATTACGAGAGAGATTCGTGCAACCCGAACAGGTGCTAATTAAAAATGTTGTCGTCGCCTCATTAAAGAAATTTGTAAATCAACCTGCAAAGGACGCGCGCAGCATGCGAAAAGTTAAGCCTAGGCCCAAGCAAAGTGAAGAGGACGAGGAGGGGGTGGGTAACCCGACAACTGTCCCCCTTTTGGGGCAAGCGGAGCAACTGGGGTGCGGCACGTACGCCGTTAATGGATTTTCCACTGTTGTTCTTTTGATTAAAACGCATTATTTACATTTGCGACAAAGCCAAAAGAGGGCATGGGGGTGGAGGAGACATATTAATGTGCGACGGGGCTTAGGTCTGGTCAGGTGAGGGGCGTGGCGCAGCTGGGGGTCGACTCGCCCTCGGCAAAGGTTGACAAATTGCACAGCTGAAAGTTGATTTAAGCTCAGTTTTTGCATTTCTTTGCACTCGAATTTCGTAGTTTTTTTTGCTCTCTAGTTTTCCTTTGGTCCTTCCCAGCCTGGTACAGGTCCTGTTCATCGAGTGCCAAACTATGGCGGATGCTTTTGTCTGCCATTACACTATTGATTGCTTCCTGTCAGCCGCAGAGAGGCAAACGGAAGGCGCCAACGGATGTTGCCTTTGTTGCCTGTTGCCTGTTACCCAGTTAGGCAGTTACCAGGCGAGCCCGACCGGCAAGGAGAGAGAGTTTCGGCTGTCTGACATGGAACATGGGCTTTATGTGGGATTTGGTCAGCTGCAGACTGTGGCAGAGGCTTTTGCGGTTTACACACCACCTACTTGACCAGAGACTGGCTGGCAATGCGATAAGATGGATGCGTGCTTGTTGCTCTTCGCTGATTTCATTGTGGTCAGTTTGTGTTGTTTACCTGAGGCATTGTTCACAGAGCGAGAAAAACACCAGATAGAGTAGAGAAAGAGAGAGAGGGAGATGGAACGGACAATATCTATGGCTTAAAGTGTCATTTGAGCTGTGGAGAACAGAACAAATTTTAAGCGCCAAGGAATTGGACAGACTAAGAAGAGCATAATGTCCAACTGACACCTGTTGCCGAAGTCTTAAGCTCTATAGCTGGCAATTAATCTTATAAGACTTTCGACTGCAATATTGTGGTGAAAATAAGAAAAGTACATTTTGGATTTGATTCTTTTCAATCGCTATTAAGCTCAATTTTATGCATATGCTTAGAGCAGGATGCGCACAGAGTCTCTTTTAGGCCAGTTAAGCTTGTTCCCTTCCATCATATTCGACAATTGAAATTCCCTTTAAGTCAACTCCACTGCCAACTATTCTCTCCGGTCCTTCATTCAGCTTGTAATCCGCTTAGCCTAGTTCTATGTAGCATAACCCACTTGTGACTGGAAGTGGGTTATGGTAAATAGAGTTCAAAAAATATTTAGAACACATTTACGAGCTTTTTATTCAAAGTGCTCAGTTTAGATTGGGTTTTGTGGAAAGTAATCGATGATTTCGCAATAAATCAAGCGCATTTTTTAATAATATTTTAATTAGTAAAAACCTTTTACACTTTGCCAGCCACAATTGAATACCAATTGCCAGGCACTCGCTAATGGGCGTGTCCAGGGGCACGCGATGCCTAATTGAAAGGCAATTACCTGTAATTAGGCGTATGTGTGTGTGTATGTGTGCGCGGGTCGTTGTTTGTGTGTGTAGGCGGCAAAGTGGGTTAAGTAGGCGGCACTTTTAATTAGGGCCCGTGGCTTTTGGGCCTTTAATTATGCATTAGATGCTTAAGACCACAACAAAAGGCGCCCAAAAAGTTGCCAAACTGTTATTAAATGCTCAAATGCTCGGGGAAAGTCGAAAATGGGGCGAGCTCTAACGACACAGCAGCAACTCATCAAATTGCCATGCATCAAATCGATCAGGCATAAATCAAACGAAAATTCAAATTAGTTTCCCAGCCAATTAGAAGGTTCTCTCTTGCCCTCTCTCTCTCTCTCTCCCTCTCTCTCTCTCTCTGTACCCTTAAATGCCAAATGGGAAATTAATGAGAGTTTGCCTCAGTAAGAAAAAACTTAGAATTCCCCTAGCCTTGATTAAAGGCTCGACTCCAGAGAGCCAAAGAAAATAGAAAATGGAAAATGGAAAATGTGCATGGGAATGGAAAAGGGCAGGCAGTCAGGTAAATTGAAATATAATTGAGCTAAGGCTCTTTGGCCTGGGCACAAACTCAACTTTTGTCAACTGACTAATTTCGGTTCATTAAGATGCCGCTCGCCTCGAGCTGCCAAGGTGACGGCTCGTATACGTAATATCCCCCCGCCAATGTTGCTGCTGTCAACGTTGCCTGCGGCAATCGTGTGTAGCTGCAACAACAACAGCTTAGAACAATTTGAAGAATGCACAGTGTGCACAATGGGATGGGAAGTTGCCTGAAAGTTGTCCAGGGTTTTATCTTAACCTATATTTTATAGAGATGCGATTGTTTCGATGTGCTGTAAGCTAAATTTAAAGTCTCTGAAGGGTTGACTGAGTTATTTTTATAAAAGATAATCTGTTCTTAATGTATGGGAAGCTTTACATTAAATTTGTTGCTGCTGGCTTGTATATTTCTTAAGAGTCATATTTGTATTGAGGGTTTTTTATATACTGGAGTTTAGTTGTTGCACAACTTTGAATAAAGTCAAAATTGAGTAATTAAAGTTTTCTTACCTTTTTTGCACATTTTTGTGCCACTGTGCTTGGCTGAACTGGCGCTGAAATTGTTGTAGCTGCTGTCGCTATTGTTGTAGCTGATGAAGTGCTTGTTGTTGTTGCTTTTTGTTGGTTGTTGCTTGTTGTTGTTGGTTGCTGCCTCCGAAAGTTTGTGCTGCATTTTGGTTGCAGGCAAAAACGCTGCCAGGCGAGGAAATGCACACGAAATGTTGGCAAAATTGTCATCAAGCGTTTTTAATTACGAGCCAGTTGCGAGGGGCAGGGCAACTCAACGCTGTGGTTGTGCAGGGTGTGTGTTGTGTGTGTGTGTGTGTCTGGTGTGTGTGTATTGCGTGTGTGTGGGCAGCCGTAGAGCTGCAAGTGACATAAACAAATCAGACGCCTGTCAAGTGTGCGAGAGCCGAAATTTCTGTGTCTGCATGAGTATGTGTGTGTGAGTGTGTGGGTGTCTGCATGAGTGTGCGTGTGTATGAGTGTGTGGGTGTCTATGGGTGTGTGCTTGTGTGTGTGCATGTCATTTGCAGACCAGCAGCTACACAGCCTGAACCAGCCCCTGCTTTCCTGCTGCCTGGTGCCTTGTGCCTGCCGTGTTGTGTTGTCATTAGAAATGTCACAACAAAGCCAAACAGCTGCAAACCAAACGTCAACATTGCCAACGCTTTCAGCCACATTGTTGTTGTTGTTGTTGTTGTTGTTGTTGTTGTTGTTGCTGCTGCTGTTGCTGTTTTTGGTTATGTGCTGCCAAGTGTCGCCTCTGTTGGCAACAACAACGCCCCCCAGCCTCTGTCTCTCTCCTCTCTCTCTCTCTCTCTCTCTCTGTCTCCCTCTCTCTTGCTTTGACACCCGAGCCACCCTGTCGCATCAAGTTTAAATTTGTGCAAATTTATACTAACAAGCAGCTGCCCCCAGCTTCACACCCTCCCTTCTCTATCTACCTATGGCCATGCTGTCAGCCATTTGGTGACTACTTTTCCTCTTCTCCCCAGTCCCCTCCACCGCTCTCCAGAACTTGTCTCATCTGAGTGTCAATGCAAAGCGAGATGAGAACTGCGACTAGTCAAACAGTTGACGGCAACGGATGTTTTCCAATTTTCAGTTTAAGCAATAAGAGTCCACAACAGCAACCAGAACAACTGCAGCAACAACAACAACAACAACAACAACAGCAGTAAAATCCATTGCAATATTGTCTATTTGACATGCACTTTTAATATTCCTCACAGACATAGCTTGGCTTTGAGCACAGGGCGTAGTTGCCCAGCATTCGGATCTGTTGCAGGTGCTGCTGCGAAAGGAATACGCAGAAATAGGATAGCAGCACTCGAAGGACTCAATTGGCATTCTAATTTGGTATGAAGAGTCAGAAATCGTATCACAGACTCAGCTTAAATCCGTTTCTGTCAAATGAGCTCCAATAATAGGAAGAACTAATTCCAATTGCAAAGCGCTTTCGAATTTTTCTTAGAATTCTCAATCAGTTTAAGCTACAAATTGCACAGAGAATTCGCCTCGATTGTTGATAGGCAGCTAAGATACTATATTTGCCGCGACTCAAGCTGAAATTTCTGTTCTTTTTCTAACAGCGTTGTGCAGCACTGCGATTAAAGCTAAGCCGATTACATTAAATCTAATTGCACTTGACCTGCGCTCATTAGAGGACAGCTCTGCTCAGATAATGCAAAAAAAGCAATAAACATACAAATTGATATATATGTATGTTACATATAAATTGTGCTTGTTTCTACAACGAGGACAACGATAGAAAGTGGCTTCCCTTTGCCTCAGTTAGGGTCATAAAAGCGACGCCGGTGCAGCCCGCAGACACTTTTGTACTCCCCTCCCTTCCCCTCTACACTTCTCTGACTAGCATTGTGTGCGGAGCGCTTTGCATGTCGTTGGACCAGTTGGGCGACAAGGATTTATCGCCAGCGTCGCAGTCACGAGCTGCCGCTGACGAGAGGGGACGAGCACGCGTTGATGAGCTCGGCCAAAGCCAAAGCCAGCTGGAGCAGGACATGCAGTAGCAGTGGTAGCAGCAGTAGCAGTATCTAGAGTTGGAGCTTTGATGATGGAGTGCGATACTGTTGCGTTTTAATTGAATTTTCTTTGTGCGACAGCAACAACAACAAGAAGCAGGAACAAATAAAATAAAGGACAACAGCGCACAAAGGAGCGCGAGGCAGACGCAGGAACAGAACGAAAACTGTCTGAGCAAAGTGGCAATAAAGGCAATAATGAATGAAATTCACTAACAAAAGGCAAACAACTATTGTTTTTATTGCTGTCAATGTTGCCAGCCGCTCGTTTGTTGTCCCTCCTTGTCCCTTTGTGTGTGCCTGTGTCGCAATTGTCCTCCGCTCAGACATTGTTGTAGACCACATATTATGTCGCGCTTACGCCTCGAATAAAGCTGTAACTTTTAATAAACGAAATTATTGGACTCAGTCTCAGGTGACGTTTGCCCTGCTCTGCTCGAACATTTATGTAAATTTCCACACCAAATTAAGAAAGAAATGAAGAGATTTTTCTTGAGTTTATTAGACCAGTGCATTGAGAATCCCTGCTCCTCGCAGCCATCCCGCCGGGCAAATGATTTTCGCTGTGTGAATTTTATGAAAATAAATGAGCTGCTAGCCGCGGCTAAGGAGCTGCTGCTGCTTCTGCCTCCCTCTATATCTTGTTCATATATCTTGAGTGCCTTTCGGGCCCCTACCAGCCCATTTCCGCCCATCTCCGCAAGCCCCTGCTCCGGAAAAGACGTTGTTTATACAACTCAGCTCGCAATTTCCTACAGCTGCGCCCTCCACGCTTCGCATTGTTGTTGTTGCTGCTTCTTGTTGGTCTAGGGCTTGGCTTCTGCTACGCTCCTGCCCGCGCCGCACCCCCCTTTCCCTGTCTCGCCCAACTGGCTCCTGGCACAAGGCTATGCAAACATAATGCTCGACGAATTAAAGCTTTTTGCCAACCAATAAATTATTCATGCCGTAAGACAACTACGGCTGTCCTGGCGGATACAGCTCTAGCCCCAACACCCAGCCAGCCCCTCCCGCTCTGCCTCACAGCCTGAACCACCTCCCCATGGGCCACACTCCCTACTTTATGCACAAATTATGGCGCAGGCGGCAGGCAGCAGGCGTTTGACGGCGTTGGCAACACCAACTGCCAGCCAGTTGGCAACATCAGCAGTTCCTTCAAGCGGAAACGGAACTCAATTCATTAAAATGAATGAACGAAGCGCAGCCAAGTGCATGACTAACGGTAAACGGATGCAAACTGAAAGATGCAAATCCGGTTGATGAAATTGCGTTTTCATTGCCCCCTTTTTACAACATTTTCCCAGCCGCCAGGCCCCACACCTATAAAACCTCATCTCCTGCTGCCTAAAACTCATCAAATGTTTATCCCTAAAAAGAGTTTCGTTTTAGATGATAATACTTCCGGCATTGCATAGATTGAAGACTATGTAGCATATGCAAAGTCTTAACTTATAAGTGTTTTTTTTTTTTTTTAAGTAAAAGATCTCTACAGAAGCTCAAGGAATCTTATCTCAATTGAACTTTCAATAAAATAAAAATTTCTTTAGAATTATTCTGAATTACGTTTGCCCCAACCTACATATGTTTAGGCATTCGCTGACAAGAAATTCTCTTCTATATTTCTTTCCATTCGTCTACCAGGCCTGCAGCATGTCCACACCGAAGAGCAGCCGTGGCAATGGCAGCGGCAGTCTCTTCGGCGGCATTGCCACCGGCAGCACCATCACCGTGGGCAGTCACGGACATGGCGACAAGACCAAGGAGCGTCTGCGTCGCATACCCAGTGTGCAGCCGGGCGCCTTGAGCTACGAACAGCTCATTAAGGAGGGCACCTTTGGTCGCATCTATGCGGGCAAGCTGGGCGAGACTTGCGATGCGCTGGTCAAGACGGTCATCGATGGCGCCTCGTTGACGCAAGTGGCCTGCCTACTGCAGGACGCCTCGCTGCTGATCGGCGTCAGCCATCAGCACATATTGGCGCCTTTGTTGGCCAACACGGAGCTGCCCGGTCCGCCCGAGATTGCATACCCCTATCCGTCCAAGGGCAATCTAAAAATGTAAGTTTCCCGCTGCTCCAGCCCGGGAAGAATCATGCTCCTTCATGTACTCTGCAGGTACTTGCAAAAGTCACGGGAATCCAGCACTGCGTTGAGCACCCGCCAGCTGGTGGAGTTTGGACTCCATATAACCAAGGCGCTGGCCTATCTGCACTCGCTGGGCATTGTGCACAAGGATTTGGCCACGCGCAATTGCTAGTAAGTATGGGGTTGGACGGGGTTGAGGGCGTCAATGTAACCCCTTGCATCTGCTTGCAGCGTGGATGAGGAGGCGTATGTGAAGATTTGCGACAGCGCGCTCTCGCGGGATCTCTTCCCGGATGACTATGACTGTCTGGGCGATAATGAGAATCGTCCGCTCAAGTGGCTGTCGCTGGAGTCGCTGCAGAAGAAGGTCTATACCACGCAGGGCGATGTCTGGTCTCTGGGCGTACTCTACTGGGAGCTGGTCACACTGGCCCAGATGCCGCACGAGGAGGTGGACATATTTGAGCTTACCAATTACTTGGCTGCCGGCTATCGTCTGGAGCAGCCCGTAAATTGTCCGGATGAATTGTGAGTAGCTCTTAACTCTAGTCACCTTAACTCTAGTCAAAACCTTCAACCCCACAACCCCCCCTGCTCCGCTCCCCCTATGTAGCTTTACGGTCATGAACTGCTGCTGGCACTGTGAGCCCAAACAGCGTCCGACACCCGCCCAGCTGTTGTCCTATCTGCAGGACTTTCACGTCGATCTGGGCATGTATATCTAAGGATCCTGATGATGACTGACTGATAGGCCTGCGAGCTAAGCATTCAGCGCGTAAAAAACTTATTGTATAACTAGATGCATGCACACGAGTTACGTAAGATAAATTAATTGAATACTTTTGCATTTTAAATGTGAGAATTGAATGTGAATTACCTGTTAGCAATTTTTCTGGCGTCTGTGTGTAACCAATTGAACGTGCGTATATGTGTATATAGTATATAGCAATTTATTGTCTAAGTAAATATTAAGGCGTTTAAGTGTCACAGAAACCAATTAACTCGACAACAGTTGCAGACAATTGCACTTCAAAGCACAACAATGCAAACAGAGGCAATTTGTTGCATTTGCCTGTGTTCCTAGAAACGTAAACTGCCAGAAATCGCAAACAATAACTGCCGTAATTCTTAGTAAAGCACATTGCAAAGGATGTGTTAACATGTTCAATAATGGAAACAGTTGACTTATCACCAAAATCGAATTATAAAACAGCTGAATTTCAATTAAAAGGAGTAAATGTTACATACTTTGTTCTAACTGAGGCGAATGCATATTCTGGAATGCATTTCAGTAAGTACAGTTGAGCATTTAAGTAGCTAGAAATTGAACACACATGCTTATATAGTATATGTATACACTTCAGATTGCAAAATGCAAATTGATTAAACACAAAATAAATTAAACAAATATGATTGTGAGCTATTGAGAATGCATATTTTATTGAATGTGCATAAGAAAAGAGCAAGAGACCGCAAAGAGAGAAAGAGAGAGAGAGAGAGGGGGGAAGCGAATAGAAAGTTGAATGTGCGACAACAAAATACGGAATCTTTTGTTCTCAAATGTTGTCCTCAATTGTTATCAAACGATATATTTATTTATTGATTTACCAACGAGCATTTAAATATATGATTATATTACATATTATTATCAAATATTTGTAAGGAAAATTCTCGACTGATTGCGAGTCAAAGTGAGACACAGCGGCAGCTGAAGTTCAAATTAGAATCAGAATCAGAATCAGAATCAGGTGAAACAACAGACACTGTAAAGCAATTGTTAAACGCATAAGTCACACAAAATCAAATCAATTGCAAATGTCATAAGCAAAAGCACAAGTTTCGAGCTAAATTCCACAAGAGACTCAAAGCACCAAGCTACACTGAAACTCAAATCAAACCAAATGGTACACACACTCACACACACACACACACAGCCAATATGCACACTCGCACACAGCAAGCTTCACGCTAATTTTGTTATTAAACTGACAACTGCTTCAGCTAACTAAGTCCGTCTCAAGTTTTAATGTGCACTTGTGAGCTACAGTTGTTACTCAGAGCAACTATTTAACAGAGGAATATAGTGGGAATAAGGCAATACAATTAAGCTCACTTAAAGCTATCGTGTGCTTTAAGAGCTGCTTATACAGAACGGGAAAAAGCTGATTGACAGCCAAGCAGCAATGAGCTTTGAGCTTGAGGAATCGATTAAAGCTCACTTAAAGCTTTCTTGAGCTTTAAAATCTGCTTTTGCAGTAAGAGCTCTTCAAAGCATATGCTTGACAGCCAAGCTTTAAGCTTGAATACTTGATTAAAGCACACTTAAAGTTATCGTGTGCTTTAAAAGTTGCTCACAGAGCAAACGCCCGTCGAAACAGTTACGCAGCGAGGAGCTTTGAGCTTGATTAATTCTTTTAATTGCCTAAAGCTCAACTAACGCTTTTGCGTGATTTCAAAGCTCTTTTCTCACAAAAAAAAATAGCTATTTTAAAGGATATTTATTTTCACTTTTTACTGCTCTCTATTATGTTTTCGACTGCTCGTCCTTTTACCAGCCTAGATTAAGATATTATTGTTGTTGCTTATGCTTTAGTTTTAGTTTGAATTGCGCTACATTGTGTCTGTTTCTGTTTCTATTTATGTTATTTTTTGCATTTCTGTTAACAAAGGCAACTGAAAGTTGTTCAAAACCGTGCAAAAAACAAATGCAAAACTTAAAATCCAACCATAACAGAAATAACAACAGCAAGTGTTGTTGTAATTGTTGAAAGTGCAATAAAACAAACGCACAAAAAAGTGCTAAATAAAAAAGATACAGAATATATATCGTAAAACCAAATAGAATCGAAAATACAAATAAGAAATTCACTTTTAAACACTAACAGCTGCTTTTTAACTCTAGCTACGTAAGCTCTATCACAATATGTTTTAACTTTTAAGCACAGACAAGCTGAGATAAAGATCAAATATTACACTGCCAGCTCAAGCTCAAGAATTATACTTTGCACTCAATGAAAAAACTGATCAATGAATATGAATGTTACTACTACTTAAATACGAGTACTCACTAAAAGCTAAACTGACTTTAAGAAACGAAAAAGAAATCTAGTAAATAATTCACTGATTCTGATCTCTCAACTCTATAATGTAGTATATACTATGTGAAGCTGCTTGGCAGATGCAAAAAAACAAAAACAAACAAATATAATACTGAAAATCCAAAAACTCTCAACTAAGTGTATAACAGTTTTAAATAGTTAATGATAATTGACACACACACACTCACACACACTCTCACACACACAGCACACATACTCACTCACTTAAAACTATAACTAACTGAATGTGTTTCATATATATATTTATATAAAATACTCTAGCTCGTACACGTAATAGTATGTACGTATCCTGAATGTATGTATGTATGTATGTATTGATGTATGTGCCATGTTTGTATGTATATTTTGTCATCAAATTGAACAACTAGAAAGTAAATTCGCAAAAACAAATAGCTAGCAATATCCCCAAGGGATATTTTTGCTACTCTTCAAATACGAAATACAACAGCCAAACAGCAAAAGGATACGACGTCTAATACATGCATCAACTAGGTTTTCTCTATGTATTTTTAAGAAAACAACACACACACACACACACACACACACACACACACACACACACACAAACACACTCACTGCTGGAGCAATGAAAGCAAAACAAAACCTCTAAATATTATCAACATTCAGATTCTGAACGTCTCTCACTCTTAAACACTGCCCAATTTTTATATAGATGTATTCTCTGTCTCTGTCTAACTTAAGATATATGTGTACCCTAGTATACTACTATGAATGTGTATTGGATAAATATTTGCTAAACTAACCCACACTCACACATACACACTCCCAACCCACCCCACACACACACACACACACACTCACACAGCAAATGTAGCTTCATCTATGCGACAGTTTTTGGGTTTTCTGGAAACTCTCCGGCTCTGTGGGTGGTGGCAATTTAAAATAGCAAAAAGCAAAAGCAGAAATTCAATTTTTGCCCAAAAATCGACAGAAAAAAACAACAGCAACAAACTAAACGAACAAAAACAAAAAGCAAATTAAATAAATGTTCCTTTTGAATCATCAACAAAACACACAACGCTCTATTTATTATTATTATCTCTCAATGGTTTCTACTCCAAGCAAGTAAGTATAACGCGTCCGAGTTGCAACAGTTGCAAGTTGCACGCAGCTTGGCAGCTTGTTTTATGCTGTCAGTTCTTGTTGCCTCACTTGATTGGCTTGTCTTGGCTTATGCGTCGTATGCGTGATGTCCATGCCGCGGCACGTTCTCAGCGACGCAGCGGCAACACGCCAGAAGCAAGTTAATGGCAAGCCACAACAGTTTATGCTGAACAGAGCAAAAAACTCGCAACTTGCCTTCAACTTGGTCTTAAACCAAATAACAACTGAAAACTTGCTTTCTTTATTCAGTGCCTTTGGCATGCTTAGATATAGTTATGCTCCACGGACGAATATATAGCATGTGTGACAGCAATAGCTGATGTCTTCCTTGCTGTAAGCAGTGCCTCTGGCATGCCTAGCGATAGAAATGTCTGACTCTGCGGATTTCTACTAATTCCAACTTGAACTTAAACGTTACACAATGTTTTAACTGTGAGTTAAACAGCTACTGAAATCTCCCCTTCTCTAAGTAGTGCATTTGGCATGTGTCGGGCCCCAAACTACTTAGTTTCATGTACTCAAGTCAAATACAGCTGGGCTTTAAGCACACACACACACGCCCGCCGGAATATATTTGCTGTGCGTGTCAAATGCTGAACTCTGCGCATTTGCAGTGCCCTCCCCCCCCCTCCCCCCTCACCCCTCTCTCCAACCCCTCTTTGGCTGCGCTCTAATTACAAAATCACTGTCAGTTTTGCTTTTTGTTTTTTGTTCAGCTCTTTTGTTATTTTTTGCGTTTTTCCTTTTGTTTTTCTGCCAGTCCGAGAGGACATTCGCTTTTCGTTTTCATAACGGCAGCACTTTGTTGAGTGGCAAGTGGCAAGTGGCAAGTGGCAAAAATAAAAAGTGCCACGTTGTGTATTCGCCCCGCTGAGCTGGCAAAAACTGGAACAACGCACAGTTGACCAAAGGGCTTTTCGGGTGCTGCCAAACTTGTTTGTTTGCTGTGCGTGCTCCAAAATCAAGCGTCACACACATCAGCATCTGCCCCCCTCCCCCCCCCCCTGCCACGCCTCGCCAATTGGCGCTGCGCTGCCTGCTTAACGGGTTTTTATGCGCTCTCATAATTGTCGACACTAATGACGTGTGTGTGTGTGCATTTGCAGCCATTTACAACACTTAACACGGGATGCCATTTGGGGCATCCCGCAGCAATAATAAATGGATGAATAATGGCAAATAGAGCGCATGTTTTATGCAAGTCGAACCATCTGGCTGGCACATCTGTTGCATAAATCAGGCTTCGCAATGTATGACAACACATAGAAAAACTTGAAAAAGCATTGCATTAGCCATTTGCCCCTTGACGCTGCATCCGATTAATATTTTAAAAGGAATCGAATCAAATGCTGGCCTAAATTGAATTGTCAGCTTCCGGAATTCATGAACATGAAGCAGAGCAAAACGATTTGAATTATTTAAGAACTGCTCGGATTTCGTAACTTTTAATGATTTTTGCACTTGACCAAAATCGTTTTCAATGTTCGACGCTCAATTAAAATGCACAAAATGAATGTTGACACGTGATTGGGGATTATTAAAAGCGCTTC